CCCAAGTATAAAGCAAACGAGCCTACACCTTTAATTAGACAGTGAGCAATACAAGATGAATATTAGCCTTCTTTTTAATCCTATCTCCAGAGGAATGTCCCTCCAGCTGCTCTAAGCCCTGGAGATTCTTCCTATAGCTCTTCACTTGCTCTGGCAAAAAGGAAAGATGCCTCCTGCCTCCTGCCTCCTGCCGTGCTGCCTGCACAGCCCGGGTGGGGTTGGGTGAGGCCCCAGGTGTCAACTCTGGCTCTGGTTTTTGTTGAGCTTCCTATCACAGTGCAAAGCGGTAACCAGTTCTACTTTGGGATGGGGACAAGTTTGACTGTTATTCCACGTAAGTCAAAGAAATTTTTCTATTATCATTGTGTTCTGTAAACCCTTTCTGTGGCAGGAAGAACCATCAAAAGTCTGCTAAGTTTTTTGCTTCAAAATATTAGTTTTTATCTGGAACATTAGCAAAAGGCCCTTTTCCTCAACTCCAAGAATGATTTACACCATAACAAGTCTTAATTGCCTGGTTTGTAAATGCCTGCAGCACTGGCCTCTCCTCTAGCTTACTCCTCAGGTCTGCACAACCAAGTAAGTTGGCTCCTCTTGGCACAGACCACGGGAACCAACGGGGTGGGAGCTTCAGACAGAGGCTAGAGACGGCCAAGAGGCAACTTCACAAAAAATTGAAATGTGAGTGAGGTGAAAGATGAGGATGGCAGGGATGTCCACACTTGGCTATGTTCAGAACTGATAAGCATGACAGGCTGGGAAGGTGGCTCATTGGTAGAGCGCTTGCCTTGCATGCATGAGGCCCTGGGTTCGATTCCTCAGCACCACATAAGCAAAAAGAAAAAAAAGCTGGAAGTGGCGCTGTGGCTCAAGTGGTAGAGTGCTAGCCTTGAGCTGAAGAGCTGAGGGTCAGCACCCAGGCCCAGAGTTTAGGCCCCACGACCAGACCCAAAAAAAAAGAACTGATAGGTACTGTGCACTGGCATCACAGGGAGACAGAGGGGAGGTTCTGTTCTTTGTAAAGACAAATTTAGCAGAAAAATCAAAACATCCCAACCCTCTCCTAGTGACAAGCCTTTTATCCCACTCTGGGTTGTGCAGCAGGAACCTGTAGGAAAGAGGCACTGGTGGCTTTGATGTTGCTTTAGCATTGCAGAGAGCAGACACACAAGAAACGAGGTGAGGGCTTGCAGGAGAATTGAGAGCAATGGTTTTTGTAATGGTTTAGCACACTGTGTATCTAACTCTGGAAGCCAGAAATTAACCTTTGGCACTGGGACCAGACTCACTATTATACCCAGTAAGTACTTCAGCCCTGGTCAGAAGAAACCAGCCTGTCATATTCTGGACTATACAGGTTTAGAGAATTTCCTCCTGTCTTTTTTCATAACCAGTATAGAGGGGGTGGCTGCTACATCGTGCTGTTGTCTGAGGGAACTCCAAGCTTGAATATTTAATTCCTAACTAGAAAACATAATTCACGATTCTGTTTTTGCTGTTACCATCCTATGCCAAGGTGACATGTGGAGAACTCAGACAGAATGCCTCATCTTCACTTTTATCTTGTATGATAATTTTCACTTTGAGTATTGCAGTGTTTTGAAGAAATGGTAAAAACATGGGCTATCAAAGAGACAAGCAAAGCAGGACAGGCAGAGAGACAGGGCGTCAGGCGGCATCATTTTATAACACAAACCTAGTGTTATGTCTTTTCTAACAGACAGCAAAGGTATTGGGGAAAGTGCTAAGTACTGGTGCTCTGGGCATGACAGAGATGTGACCTTATGTAGCAATACTAAGCATTGATCCCAAGGGGGAAAGTTTAAATTTGGAAAGCTCCAGGCTGTTTCCCCCAACCAAGCTTAAAAGTGTGGCAGCATGTCTGCGATTTAGTTACAATTTGGGTAAGACACAGAATTAATGTCAAAAACAACTGCCAGGCTGGGAAGGTGGCTCAGTGGTACAGCGCTTTGCCTTGCATGCATGAGGCCCTGGGTTCGATTCCTCAGCACCACATAAGCAGAAAAAAAAAAAAAAAAAGCTGGAAGTGGCACTGTGGCTCAAGTGGTAGAGCACTAGCCTTGAGCTGAAGAGCTGAGGGACAGCGCCCAGGCCCAGAGTTCAGGCCCCACGACCAGACCAAAAAAACAAACAAACAAAAAACAACTGCCTATATGATTAGTGACAAGATAGATAGATAGATAGATAGTCAGTAGACAGAGAGTAGATAGACTGTAGTGGATAGATATAGGTAGATGATAGAAGCTAGACAATAGGCAGATGATGAAGATAATAGATAGTAGATAGATAATAACCAGATAAATGTATATAGAGAGAAATGTGCAAAACAGATTTTTATACCTATAATTAAAAGATGAGAATTAGTTGAATATGCTCGATTTTTGACCAAACACAAGCTCACAAAAAGAGAGAAGCTGGGCACCAGTGGCTCATGCCTGTAATTCTAACTACTCAGGTGGCTGAGATCTGAGGATCACAGTTTAAAACCAACCCTGGGCAATAAAGTCCATGAGACTCTTATCTCCAATTAATTGCACAAAAAGCCAGAAGTGCTACTGTAGCTCAAATGGTAGAGTGTTAGCCTTGAGCAAAAGAACAATGCCCAGGCCCAGAGTTCAAAGTTCAGGACCAGCAAAAAAAAAAAAAGGGAGAGAAAAACATACCAAAAGAGTAAATGTTGGGGCTGTACACCTCTCCAAGTCTGGATTTCCTAACTATTCAAATGATTTCCTTACTGAGAGGATTCTTTTCTCTCTCTCTTTTCCATTTTGCTGCATCAGAAATTAAAGGCATAAGAATTGAGGATTTGCATGGCTCAGACTCTTACAGTGAAAATTACATTATAAGTCACCTCCCAGTCAGGAGGGATAAAGCACCTTGAGACATCAAGGTCTTTTTCTTCTCTTTTCTCTTCTCTTTGGATAAGGCAAGAAAATGGTCTCGCCTCACTCTGAATCTAGGGACAAAGAAGTCAGAAAGAGACAGCAATAGAGCTGAGTCAGGGAACTTGGGGAGCCAAGGAGAGCCAGTCTGTTTTCTCCCAGATGCAATGGTAGCCAGAACCGTTCAAGAAACTGTTTCAAGGTGAGCCAGCAATGCCCCTAGGGCAAATGCCACCCAAAACAACTCCAAATAAGAATGCTTTGGCCAGTAGGGTACAGTCAGACTGGCTCTAAGCTAACTTAAAGCCCCATGTATTTGGAAATGTTGTGGGGACCAACTCTCTGGAGTTTATTCTATAAACAATACTTTCAGAAATTGTTAACAGTTGGTAGTTGCTATGGGTTTGGACCTTGGAGCATATCAGAATGGAATTATTTAGAACAGAAGGATCTGATTAGGATAAATGAGATGAAGGGAAATTCTGGCTAGAGGGCAAGAAAGATACAGTGAATCTAGTGAGTAGTATTTATCCCTGTCCAACCAGCAAATCAGGAGCCAAATTCCAATACAATCAGGAGCCAACTTCCAATACAATCAACCTTTTCACATTTACAAGATTCTGCAATTATTGCAATGTCTTTGGCTTTGGGGTCACATATCAGCAGGTCCTAAATGCAAAATAGAACCATCCTGTGTTTTCAGCAGTAAGTCACTTGCCCTCCCACTCAACTCCCACCCAAGATGTGTTTTTGTAAAGGGGTTAGCTGCTGTGTGAATTATGGCAACAAGATGATCTTTGGCTCAGGAACCATTCTAAAAGTCAAACCTTGTAAGTACAAAACACATTCTGATCACCTCTAATCCCAACCTGAGTGTCACTACATATTGTGTAGACTCCTAGTTACAAGGATTTGATTCTAAAAGAAGGGCAAATGGCGTCCAGGTGCAATATATGTACTTTGTTAAATATGATTCATTTAAGAATTCCCATGCTTTGTCTTGGAAAAAGTTAATCATACCGATGCACTGATATGGCTCACAGATTTAAAAAGTAAAAAAATCACTGTGTCTGTGGGCCATGCTGCTTGCTGTTTGAGTGTCTAGACCCACAAAATAGAAACCTCGGTCTGTTGTTTTGAGCTTAGAGATTTAGCCTGAGCCTGTCACTTAGGGATAAGAAAAAGCTACACCTGCTTGGCTTGAAGTGAGTTCCTGGGATCTGTGGCAAGAGAAAGCCCAGGCAAGCAGACTGGTAAGGAAACACTTATGGCAAGTGCCTGCTGCATTTCTAAAAAGCTGTTGACAATTGTGAGAACAGAGGCAATGGAGAAAAGCTGACTTTTGGGACTGGAGCTCACTTATCAGTTAGGTCCAGTAAATCTGAGTGAAAGTATGATTTTTATGACTTTTTCTGTTATGTGTTCCAACCTGATGTTTGAGTTGCACATCTTTAAATTCCAAGGATCATAACCACTGCACTTGCCCTCTCCTATGGACAGAAGAGAGTTGTGTGGTCATGGCTACATAACAGTGATGTGTGATAGCTGTGTCATTGCAATTCCTCAACTCCAGGGCTCTCATCCTAGAGATGAGATCTGTGAACCTTTATGTCAGCAGCAAGGGAGAGGAAGAAATGACCAGTAGCAAAGGCTAAGGCTATAAGCTGTCAGTCAGGGTTTGTAGACATCAGAACCTCTGGGAAGATTCTGAGTTTCCAGACATGAGACTCCAGCAGAGGGGTTTCTTGTTTCTTTATTTGGTTTTGTTTGAGTTTTTTGTGATTTATTTTGTTTTTTGTGTTTTTTTTTGGGGGGGGGGGGGTTGTGGGTATGTATGCTGGTATTGGGGCTTGAACTTAGGGCATGGGGACTGTCCCTTAGCTTTTTTTGCTCAAGGTTAGCACTATATCACTTGAGCCATAGCTTTACTTCTGGCTTTTGCTGGTTTGTTGGAGATAAGAGTCTCATAAACATTCCTGTCCAGGCTAGGTTTGAAACACAATCCTCAGATCTCAGCCTCCTGAGTAGCTAGGATTATAAGCCTGGGCCACCAGTGCTTGGCTGGCAGAGAGATTTTTGTCAAGGTTTGTCTCACAGTGTGAATACAGGAAGCACAAACAGACTCACCTTTGGGAAAGGGACCCAGCTGATGATCCATCCTCGTAAGTGTTTCCACCTGGGAGACTGGGTTCTAAATGCAATCCACAGAGGGACATTTTCCGACAAACTTTGCTGTGGACCCCTGGGACCACTTCCCTCATTGGCACCATTCTAAGTACATAACAGTATGTGCTTCAGAGGACTTCTAGGATCTTCCTTTTGTAACTATTTGATTACAAGTTTACTATTGGAAACTCTAGGCTCCAGAAGACAAAGTATATGAATTTAGGACTAGGGCACAAATATATTCGGGCTGTTTGGCCAGCAGCACCTTTGCAATAAAAATTACTTACATAGGAAATGTTTAAATGGCCATGCAGATAAAGGAAGGTCTCTTTGCTTCTTTTTCTGTCTTCATAATTTCTTCTCTGCCTGACTTAGGAACCTTAAGTTAAGATAGTTATTCATCATTTAATTCCCAGCTCCATCACTCATCAAGTGTGACAAAAAAGATCTATTAACATAAAACCAAAAAAAAGGAAGGACAAAGAGTTCAATTCCCAATATCTTCAGAGTTAAACTTGACAATTTGGTGGCTTTATTCAATGAATCGGTGCTTATGAACAACTGAGGCCAAAGAGGGCAACCAGCAGGTGATATGCATTGCACCAGTCTCTGGCCAGAGCCCTACTGGCCTTATAGAAATTAATAGTGCCAAGTTTGGGATGTGGTCCCTGGAGGGTTGCCATAGCTACACATCTATAAAGCAGTCATGAGGACAACTCTGAGGAAGGCAGTGGAGACCAGATAAAGAGTTGAGCATCAGGTTTCTGTTGTGGAGTTTCTCACAGTGTAACCAGTGGCAGTGCCAGCAAGGTCACCTTTGGGACTGGAACACGACTTCAGGTCAATCCTGGTAAGTCATAGGAACCATGAGTCACCATATGCTCTTTTAGAAAAGGGACTGAGTACTCCAGAGGGGGGGTTCTGGTGGCTGCAGTGGGAGTTGACCTCGCAGGATTCTTCCTTTCAATAGTGCCTGCGTTATTTTGATTTCACTGAGGCTTTCCTTCCCAACCTGTAAAAATGACCTCTCTCCTCCAAACTTCTTCCATCTCCCTTACACTGCTTGTTTTCTTTATAACACCAGGTCCAAGGACTCATTTATGTCCCGGACTTTGTTACTCTAAGCAACAGAATGAAAAATGTTCTCAAATTCAGAATAGTAGATACTGTTTCCTTTGTTAACGTTTCAAGGGTAGTAGGTATACGTGAGGAAATTCTAATAGCTGCTTTAGAGATCTTTTTTTGTGTGTGCTGGTATAAGGACTTGAACTAGGGACCTGAGAGCTGTCTCTTAGGGTTTTTTTACTCAAAGCTACCTCTTTACCACTTGAGCCACAGCTCCACTTTTGGCTTTTTGGTGATTGATTGAAGAAAAGAATCTCACTAACTTTCTTGCCCAGTCTAGCTTCTAACCATGATCCTCATATCTCAAGACTGCCGAGTAACTAGGATTACAAGTGTAAGCCACAGGCACCAGGCTGTTTTAGAGACTTTAAGAAAGCTTGCTTAACCCTCTAAACACCCAAATTCTCAGAGGAATCACTTTGTTAGGAACTTGGTGGAGTCAAAACAAAATATTGACCCTCTGAGATCAGAATCAAATACTATTATTTTCCCCCAAAAGCATTACTGTTTCATTATGTACCAACTGTGAAATGACTGTATAATTAATAAGAAATTATATAGATGAGTGAATTAAGTATTTCAGACCTATGATTAAGATGCAAATTGTAGAAATTCTGGACCAAGCTACCAAGGAACTTCTCACATACAGTAAGTCCCTGAGGACAAACAGTATACCTGGGCAGGATTTCTTCACAGCAATGATTTATACACTGTTGAGGGAACTGATTGAAAACATTACTTGTCTCGAAGTGCCAATTAGGGTTTAGTTTAGTTGTGTTAAGTACATGGAGAAGTACCCCTATTTACAGCATAAGGCTGACAAAACAGCCCCATACCTGTAGGAAAAGACAGGGACTGACAGCATTGTGCATGGTATTTCTGACTACATGGTATTTCTCAGTTCCTCTCATCCCTGTCTCTGTAGCCCTGCAGGCTAGGTTCTCCCATGAGGTTTTTGTTAAAGCACCTATTACTGTGACAATAATAACAATGACCTTCGATTTGGAGCAGGGACCAGACTAACAGTAAAACCAAGTAAGTAGAGGGAGTACTCTCAAGAGTTGTCCTGAGTGGGAGACAGTGATGTTTTGTCTATTTCCATGGGATAAAGACATCTGCTGCTTCTAAGGGAATCCTGTCTTCTTTGTATCTGACCCTGAGTGAGTTGGACCTCTGTTAAATAATGAATTCTGGTAATCCTAAGGATTAGGTCAAGAACAATAGTAAATTTCACTGGCTTCTTCATTCTTTATATAGAAATGGTAAAGATGATGGGCTGGGAAGGTGGCTCAGTGGTAGAGTGCTTGCCTTGTATGCATGAGGCCCTGGGTTCGATTCCTCAGCACCACATAAGCAAAAAGAAAAAAGCTGGAAGTGGCACTGTGGCTCAAGTGGTAGAGCGCTAGCCTTGAGCTGAAGAGCTGAGGGACAGCATCCAGGCCCAGAGTTCAGGCCCCACAACCGGACGGACCCCCCCGCAAAAAAAAAGAAATGGTAAGGATGATATATAGAACCCATATTTTGTGTGTGGAGTGGAAGGGGAATAAAGTCAACAACTTAGAAATCAGCATTTCCTCAATAATAAAAACTCTTCTAAGCCAGATGCCAGTGGCTCATACCTATAATCCTACCTACTCAAGAGGCTGAGTTATGAGGATCAAGGTTTGAAGCCAGTCCAGGTAGGAAAGTCCAATGAACTAAATTAATTCAAAGCTGGAAGCCGAAGTGTGAATCAAGTGGTAGAGTACTAGCCTTGAGTAAAAAAGAGATAGTTCCCGAGCCCTGAATTTAAGCCCCAAATACCAGCACAAATAAACAATAAACAAAAATAAACAACCACCAAAAAAACCCAAGAGGAATACAATCTGCTCTTTTGCTGGTTTTTGTTTGTTAGGTTTTTTGTTACTGTTATTCTGTGTCTGTGAGAGTGGCTTGGTGCTAGTCAACTTGAAGAAGCCATTCTCTGACTCCATGTTGACCACCTGTGCTAGGCAGCCTAGCTCCACCCTTGCTCCACCTGTGTCTTCATGAGTCTTAAGTAAGAGCAGCCCATCAAAAACCAGTTTTGTGAAAACAAAACAGGTGGCTTAAGATTAAGTTCAGATCTATCTCATAGCCAGCTGTTTATCATTATTATTATTATTGTGAAAATACCATACAAAGGGGTTATAATTACATGGGCAAGGTATTTTTTTTTTCTAAGAAATAGCCTAGCCTTGCCAAGCTGCTAGACCTGGGGTTGCATGATAGCAAGACTTCCACTAGAGGCCAAGATGATCTCACCTGCTTGGCTTCCCTGCCTACCTACTGGTTATTGTAAGGCCCCATAGGACTGTGAATACTGGAGGACAAGGGAGGTTCATCTTTGGAAAAGGCACTAAACTGTCTGTTAAACCAAGTAAGTAAGTGTCAAGAACTCCAAAGGCTTCACCAGTGAGTGCAGCTGAAGTACAATTTCTGAGTGAGTGAGGACAAATTCAACCTTTCTTTCTGTAGTTCTCCTGCCCTTCACCCATGAATTGCAAGGCAAGGCCCTCCTCTCAGGATGACACTTTGTGGAAGTGCATCGTACCTCTGTGTAGGATGGTGGTCTCATGGGAAAAGGAAGCATTATTTGCACTGTGGAGGACTCTGATGGGACTGTAAGCTGGCCAGTGTTGCCTATAACTGATATATGTATGTTAGACATTTGTTTTTGTTTAGTTTGTTTTGTGAGCCTGAACTTGAACTCAGGGTCTCACACTCTAGCTTGGCTTTTTCACTCATGACTGGTGCTCTACCAGCCGAACTACACCTCCACTTCTGGCTTTTTGCTGGTTAATTGGACTCCCAGATTTATCTGCCCAGACTGGCTTCAAGCCTCAATTTTGAAATGTCACTCTCCTGAATAGCTAGGATTACAGGCATGAGCCAATGGCACACAGCTCTAAACATTTGTTTTAACAGAGGAAGGGGGAAACAGAGAGGTCCCTATGAGATGTTTTTGCTTAGAGAGAATACACTGTGGACCTCAAACACCGGGTATGCACTCAACTTCGGCAAAGGCACCTCACTGTTGGTCACACCCGGTGAGTTCTTATGGTTAACTAATTATCCTTTCTGGAAAGAAATCCAGTGGGGCCTGTTGAAACACAGCTAAATTTAATTGCTTCGTTTAGCATGCAGTTGTTAACTGTGTCGGATGTGTGAGCAAGATATGAATATATGTTTCCCTAGACGCTGGATTTAGTTATCAGGTCCTTGGGCAGTTTGATAAATGATCCTAATACTGCAATCAGTGTTTCTCGAAGGTCCATAAGGCATGTGGTAACTTTGGAAAAGAAGTAGAGATAAGAAGAAAAAGAGCTTTGTGATAGAGGCAAAAACAAACCAATAAAAGGAAGGCTACCACACAACAGTGCTTAGCCAAGGAAGCATGTCCTTAACAGATAAGTGATGAAGACCCAACTGAGTTTATGCCCTGTTATCCAGCACAACTGAAAAGTAAAGCAAGTAGGCTGAGAACTCAGGACACCAGAGAGCAGCAGCCAGTGTATGCTTCTCAGAACTTTCTTGTTCTAAGTGAGTAAAACAGTAGAACTTGCTCTGGAGATAGAGCAGCCCAGGATGTGTCTCATCACTGGACTTGTTTCTCTTTGGAAATCCCTTTCTTCAACCCAGAAACAACTTCACCTCTTCATCTCAGCTGGCTGAATCAGCCCTAGGAGAGAGGCAGAGAACATCAGTGCCTTAAAGTCTTCCACCTCTATTAGATTATCTTTAATAAAGCAGAATGTTTGTGTTGAGTTGTGAGCTGTCAGGGAGAGGGTAATAGAGATGGATGATAGAAGGAAATACTGAAAATTTACAGGCAATCCACCCTTCAGAGTTC